CGTGGACCAACGGGGCTCTGTGATACAGGGATTAAGGTATAATCTGAATGGGTAAAAGACGGGAAATAACGTTAAGGTGCTTGAATGTCTTATGGATATTGGTTTCCCTTGCCTACTATTGTAAAATAGACATTTGAGTGGGATAGAAAGGAATTATTGAAATATAATTATGGAAATCTTGTAAGCCTGTCTTTAGCCTGTAACTGATTGGAATATGGCAAAAGGGGTTCTAGAACTTGCACAATGAAATGGGCTTCTTGTGGAGCTTTTGTAGAGTAGAGGGCTGTAGGTAGAATCCTGAGTCCTATCCAGAATCTTCTGAGGTAGGACATTCCCATTTGAAAGGGCATGCAGACTAACCTGAGGCAGCTACAGGAACATGATACTTCTTGAAAGAAAGACCAACAGGGGGAAAAATAATAGCCGACTCTTTGGCTATTACAAGAACAAGCAAGCTGTTCATTTGGGAGCCATAAAGGCAAGCCATCAAGTCCCTTCAGTCTTCTAAGACTGAAATTCAAAGGGAACAAACATATAAGCAGGCTTGTAAGCTCACTGGTGACCATGTTGGTCTACTTGTGATTGGAAGTGGGAAAGGCAGTAACGAAGATATTAGCTGAGTTTGACCATGCATAGACTCCTGTCAACCTTGAAATGAGAGAGAAAAGAGTAAGGACTGGTTGGTGTGAAGTTTGGAGAGACTTGGGAACTCCTTAGTTCACAGACACGGACCTAACTATTGGGGGCTAGAGCCAAGACTGAAGCATACATTTGATATTCTGAAGTGCAGGGAGGCACGCAAGAACACTCAAACTTGCAGATAGTACCCATTTGACCTAGCTTGGATGGCTTGATGATCAGAACTCGACTAGAGAAAGATAAAAGAAATTTGATACAGGAAGCAACTGTAAATTGCTACGATTTGATGAACTTGACTTTACTTACTGATGTAATAGATCAAAATACCAATGGAGAGGAATGGAGTCTTCATATCAAGTGTCAAATCTAGCACATGTCAAGTACATAGGCTAGTTGATAGGGATGGGCAACTTAGACATTGGCTACCTAAAATTGGGGGCTATAAAGGCACAAAGTGGTGGGTGTAATTACAAGTTTTCAAGAGGGAGTTTAGTTTCAGAGCAAGGGGGTAAGATAGAATCCCCACTGAATAGTTTTCATCTCGTCTCAATGAGCATGGTGAAAGAAAGTTAAAATAGATTTTTTTTTAAAATGCAATAGTGAGTAATTATTATCAAGACCAATTGCGATTGTCATAATTGTAAAGGTAGAAGTTGTGTAACAAAAAGGGGGGAGTAGTTAGTCTTGCATTTCTGGAACAGAGGACCCTAGGACCATCAGTAGGAAGAACATGAGTGGAACTTGGGATCCTAACCAGCGAAGCAGTGACATCAGAGATGGAGGCAGAAGCAATGGCATAGAAAGATAGAACTGCTATGGAGTCTAGACTCATGGAAAGAGAATGGCTGTGAGCTGGCAGATGGAAGCTGGCTTGCAAAATGTGCTCTTTGGTTGTTTAAACAATTATAGATTCCTGTGTGTTTTTGTATACATCAAAAAAAAAAAAACAAAACACACACACACATACAAAAAAAAAAACTTCCTGTCAACAGGGAGATGAGGGAGAGAAGAGAAGGACTGGTTGGTCCGAAGTATGGTGAGACCTGGGGACTTCTAAGCCCATGGACAATAACCTAGACACAAAGGGTTAGAACTGAAAGTGAAGTGTCCAGCTGATAGGAAGCGAGGGGAGACACACAAGAATTCCCAAACTTGCAGATAGTACCCATTTGCCCTAGCCTTGATGGCTTGATGTTCAGAACTTGACTTGGTTGTTGTTGTTTTGTGCCGTGGAGTTAGTTCCAACTCATAGAGACCCTGTATAGGGTTTCTGAGGCTGTAAATCTTTTTCCCACAGAACAGCTGGTAGTTTCAAACTGCTGACTGTGAAATTTGCAGCCCAATTCGTAACCACTATACTACCAGAGCTCAGAACTTGCCTAGAAGAAGATAAATTTTGATAAAGGAAACAAGTGTAAGTTGCTACAATTTGATGAACTTGACCTATACTCATGGATGTAGTAGCTCAAAATACCAACAGAGAGGGAGGGAGTCTTCACATTAAATATCAATGCTATAACCTCTCTATACTGGGTAAACAGGGAATGGCAACTCAAGACACTGGCTATCTAAAATGGGGGAAGCAATAAAGGCACAAAGTGATTGGCTTACAAATTTTCAAGAGGGAGTTTAGTTTCAGAGTGTGTGTGGGAAGGTATAACCCCCACTGAATAGTTTTCACCTTGTCTAGATGGGTCTGGTGAAAGGAGATGGGGATAAGATTCTTATGATTCAACAGTGAGTATTGTTATCATGACTAACTGCAATTATCACAAGTATACAGGTAGAAGATTTGTAACAAAAAGAGGGGAGTAGTTAATCTTATATTCCAGGAACAAAGGACCCTAGGATCATCAAGGGAGACGCGCATGAGCAGAAAGTGGGACCCTATCCAGAGAAGCAGCTACACCAGAGAGATGGAGGCAAAGATGATGACATTCAAAAAACAAACAAAAAATGGAATAGAAGCAAATACTGTTAAATGATGATGCATGGAGGGGATTGTAATCATTGCAATGAAACGATGAGAACATGAGTAAAACTGATGTTTACTAAAACTGATGTTTACTAAAAACTTTAAAGTTAAAAAAAAAAAAAAAAAAAGAGGGAATAGAGGCAAATACTATTAACCAATGGTGCATGGAGGGGATTTTAATCACTGCAATGAAACAAAACACGATTGGTTGAGGGCAAAACTTTTTTTTTTTTTTTTCTTAAATGTTTTATTGTGATTTATGTGATAGTTTACATGGGAGAACATTAGTTTTATATTCATTCTATCGTATATCGTCTCATTGCCATGGTTACAATCCCCTCCATGCAATCTTTCCCCCGTACCTCCCAGGTCTTCAGCACACAGTCGCTCTCCCTCTCTGGATCTAAAGTCTCCAGCTGCTCCATCGCTCCACGTCATCATCTCTGGCTCCATTTCAGGCATCACTGCTTCTCTGGGTAGGATCCCGCTCTCTGCTTTTCTCCTTTGATGGTCCTAGGGACCTCTGCTCCTAGACTGAAAAGTTAATTACTCCCTTCCTTGCTATAAAAACGTCTACCTTTACATTTCCGACCCTCACAATCAGTCCTGATAACAATTATTCACTATTGTATCACAAGAGACCCGTCTGTATTTCATTGCATCAGCCCCGCCTAGACAGATTGAATACTACTCACTGGAGATTCTACCTTCCTCCAGGCCCTCTGGATCTAGGTTCCCTCTTGTAAGCCAGTCACTTCTTGCCTTTGTAGCCCCCTGCCCCCCATTTTGGGTAGCCAATGTCCAAGTTGCCCATCCCTGTCTACTCTGTGTGTGGAGGGGGTGGGAATGATTCTTGCTGTAAGGACTTGTTCCCTCTTTTGAGCTACTGCTTCCATAGATGTAGGTCAAGTTTATCAAATTGTATGAGAATACCTTTTTTTTTTTCCTCTTCTTTTTACTTCTGGTTGAGCTCTGATCATCCAGTCACTGAAGCCAGGATAAGTGGATATTATCTGCAAGTGTGAGTGTTCTTATGCATATGCCCTCTCTTCTGATCAGCTGGATGCTTCACTCTCCACTCTAGTCCTCTGTGGCTATGTCACTGACTCTGGGCCCAAGAGTCCCCAGGTCTTGCCACACTGCTGGCCAACCAGGTCTTCACCCGGGTTCACAGAAGTCTATTGAACATTGTAGGGTTTAGCTCACCACTTCATTGCTGTTTTTCCCTCACTTCCCCTTATAGGTGTCAAGTGTGATCACCAATCACAACATGTATTCCCATTGTAAAACTCATATTTTACAATGTAAACTATCACTTAATTCATAATAAAAGCTGTCAAAACAAAACAAAAGCTAAGTTAAACAATGTATATATATGTATGTGTTTAATCTATTTTTTATTTTTATTAAAGTTTACTTACATCAATTTGGTGGCAAAATAAGTGCAATGGAAGGTATCACATATTTTCTTCTATTTCATCTCCAAATCAATTAAGTGAAACAATTCAAATATAATTCAATATTGTGAACCTGGGAATATGCTGGAAACTAACAATAACAACCAGACATTCATTAACTCAAGATTAAAATTTAATGACCTCTGTTTTTGCTAGTACAAACAAAGTTAGCAGTTCTATAATGTAATGTACTTCTGAACAACCCTACATGTCCTATTTTTAGTAGGACTTCAGAAGTATTTGATAAGGTATACATTTATTACACTGTATTTTTAACCAACCTCTAAAATTAGCATGAGTACAAAACTATAGTTATTTTAACAAGGAAGGTAAAAATTAAGCAATAGCTCTGTATACTAAAATATAATAATGCAGTTACTGAGAATCAGAACATAAGGTAGCTGATTCTGCTTTTATGATACATTCTAACATCTTCTTGGACTGTTAATCACAAGGTTGGCAGTTCAAACCCACCAGTCACTCCTCGGAAACCCTATACAGGGCCAGTATCAACTGGAAACAAATCAATGATATTTAACAACAGCAACAACAGCATCTAGCATGACAATGCCACAAAGAATGTTCACCTTTCTTTCAGTATCTTTTGATTACTCGTATGCATTGTTGATTGGCAAAATCCTTTTTAATGGCAATAAAGCGGGAATTTAGTCCAAAGAGGAAAGCTTCGTTTGTGTGAGCTGATTATGAAAAACGTGGAGGTGAATTTTTCATCCATAAACTATTGTTTACTGAAGATTATTATTATGGTTGGCATAATCATGAGAACCTTTTGTATCTTTATTTTAAAAACTCTTACCATTAGATTAACTATAGCATGCAAAAGGTCTAATAACTCTGCTAAAGATGTGACAACCACCTCAGCAGCACGGTCAGTCCAAACATTAATGGCTGCCTTGATGAAGCTCCACACGCCTTCCTCACTAGCTAACCAAACATGGGTCATCATTGCTGGGCTTTACTTCTCCTTCCAGCAGCAAATTCATCACAACCTTTGTCAAGTAGCTGCATGATCCTCTTTTTCCAAGAGGAGGAGTGTTGTAAAAGGAAGTCATGTCATCCTACAAAGGAAAAAAATAAGCAAGTTGTTTATAGACTTGATAGGCAAAATCACTGTCGACATAGGAGAAAAATTAATTTACAGAAAGATTTCTTTTGAGAAAAGGATGAGCTTCTCTTTCACTTTCCTGAGGCATCATCTCAGCACATAAAACAAAGGCAGACATTTTTAGTATTCTCCTCTTTACTGATGATTTTTTATTTACTTAGGGAACCTTTTTATAGATGAGCATAAAAAGGAGCCTGGAAGGGACCACATTAGGCAGTATACAGCACCAATCTAGGCTGTAATTGCATTTCTGTCCTGCCCAGAATGTAATTTGAGTCTTCTGAAATCTACGACAACTCCCTGGTAAAGTACATTTTAACTGTTAACTAAATAAAGGGAGGACTCACTGGACTGCAAGCCACAACATAGGCAGTTCAGATCCATTAGCCATTCCTTGAAAACCCTAAACAGGGTCGCTATGACTAGGAAATGGCTCAACAACACTTAACAACAACAATATGAAAGGGAATTGACCTCCTTCTGTATTTCTTTTAGTCAGAATTTTATACCTGAATTGACTTGTAGTTAACTAAAAATATTAATTCTTCAACTAAGTCAGACAGACCTCCCCCACCATCCCTTGTGTATTCTGTTTTGCATTCTGTAAATCTGTTTAAGTTAAATGATGAGATTAGGAATTTTAAAAAATCATGTGAATGAAAAAAACGTGTAAAAACCTGTATTCTCTACTTACTTGTTTTTCATCTTGTTTTAGCCGACTCTCATCCTTTTGAAATTCATGAAATGCTTCTTTAACCAGTTTGTCTAGATCTACTTTGTCTTGAAATTCTAGCTCAGGATTTCTTTCCAGTACAATGGATACAACCATTAGTAACTAGAAGAGAAAAACGTTGAAAACCAATTAGATGAAACATAAAAGCAGCACAATCTTGATGTTTTCAGATTTTAATCAGATCATTGGGTAATCCTAGTATTCCCAGCATGTTCTGTGCAACAGGATCACCTCTTGAATCTTTTACTTTCACAATCAGCAGTATAAACTCTATTATGGAAGCTAAGCTTTAAAAAAAAAACAAAACACACAACTGTATGATTATATGGGCATCTGTAGCTATACAGAAATGATTTTCTAGTATCTTAAATAAAACTAACACTTTAGAAAAATGACTTTCCTAACTTTGAATATAAGGAGCTCTGGTAGCATAGTGGTTATGAGTCGGGCAGCAAATCTCATGGTCAGTAGTTTGAAACTATCAGTGGTTCCACAGGAGAAAGATGAGGCTTTCTGCTCCCATAAAGATTTACAGCTTTGGAAACCCTACACAGTGTTGCTATGAGTTGAAACTGACTCCACAGCACATAACCACCACCACCAACTTTGAATATAGTTTACAGTGCCCTATATAACTAAGGAGTTCTGGTACCATAGTGGTTACAAATCAGGCTGTGAACCACAAGGTCAGCAGTTCCGTGGGAGAAAGATGAGGCTTTCTGCTCCCGTAAAGATTTACAGCCTCAGAAACCCTGTTCAGGGTTGCTATGAGTCAGAACTGACTCCACGGCACACAGCCACCACCACATATAACCAAAGGAGTCCTGGTGTGGGATAAAGCACTCAATTAAGGTCAGTTTGAAGCCCAAGGTTGGTGGTTCAAACTCATCAGCTGCTCCTTGGAAACCCTATACAGGGTTGCTATGAGTTGGAACCAACTCAACGGCATGTTACAACAAAAAATACAACCAAAGTGTATCTAAACTTTCTCTGAGTCTTTGGGCCTCAATCCTTTTTGGTAAGAGGCCAATGAGCAAACATATCTAGTGTAGTAGGGGCCTATAATAGAAGAAGGGGTAGGCACCAAAACCAGAGAAGGCAGGTGAGTTCAACAGAGATGATGGAACTGAGTTCACAGTCAAATGATCTGGAGTCCGATTACCCCAACATGAGTGGAATTATGTAATGCAAAAATAATTTCTCAGGTAATAGTTTTGTTTTTTAAAAAATAAATTTATCTCTTTATGACATGAATACTAGTCTGGTCTGTATAAACTATCTAAATTTAATACATGATCCGACTGTTTGGCTATCCCATACATTTAAGTTCTAATATTCATTTTAGATGATAAACTCAATACAGTGCTTAGTAAAGACTTTCTGATATTATGGCTCCTATTTTGTACATGTAGGAGGTATGGTGGTACTGTAGGATAAACACTGGACTGCTAACTTCAAGGTGGCAGTTCACACCCACTAGTCACTCTGCAGGGGAAAGATAAGGCTTTCTGCTCCCATAAAGATTTATAGCTTTAGAAAACCTGTACAGGGTCATTATGCGTGGAAAATGACTCAGTGACATTGAAATAGAGACAGAAAGAGATACTTTGCACATGGATAAAGAAACAGACCACAGAATCTCCAACTTAGGAACATTACTATTTGCACTTCATAGAAGTGCTTCAAAACTAAAACCTAAAAGAACCATTATCAATAGAATCCAGGGGTCACAATGTGACAGACTTTGGATCAGGGCTTGTCTCTTCAGTCATTAATAGCCCCATCTTTCTTGACCCTAATCTTTGCTTTGTCTCCCACATGCTATGAAACTGATTGGCTGATACTGTTTCCAAATTCTGGCACATTAAGAATAAGGCAGAAACTTACTAACCTCTTAGAAATGCTGGATTTCAATTCAACACTCACTGAGAACTTCTGTATCAATAAAACATTACCTACTTTCCAGAAACACAAAGTTTAAAAGGAATGTTCTCAAAAAGAAAGAGAAAGTGAGGATCATTGTTATATGCTGTTGAGTTGGTTCAGATTCCTAAGGACCCTATGTACAACAGAATAAAACAAGGCCTGGTTCTACAATAATATCCTCACACTCCTTCCTATTTTTAAACTCCCTGTTGTAGCCACTGTGTTAATCCATATTGCTGTGGGTCTTCCTTTTTTTGCTGACTCTCTACTTTACCAGGCATGATGTCTCATCACCTTCACTTCTAAAAACCATGCCTACCTCTTCCAGCACAGATTTGTTTGCTCTTCTGGCAGTCCAAAGTAAGGACAGGATATACTTAATCCATCCATTTTAGGGATTCTTTATGTATTTGGTAGAGTCCCTGGGTGGTGTAAATGGTTAACTCGCTTGCTATTAAGCAAAAGGTTGGTGGTTCAAGCCCACCAAGGCACATTGAAAGAAAGACGTAGTGATGTACTTCCCAAAAGTCAAACACAGAAAATGCTATGGAGCACATTTCTACTTAGACACACATGGGGTCACCAGGAATCCGAACTGATTATTGTTGTTGTTGTTTTCGATGTATTTGCTATGTTGCTATCTGCTATGGAGTCGATTCTGACTCATAGCGACCCTGTACAGGATTTCCGAGGCTGTAAATCTTTATGGGAGCAGACAGCCTCATTTTTCTCCCGCGGAACATCTGGTAGTTTTGAACTGCTGACCTTAAGGTTCGCAGCCCGATTTGTAGCCACTACACTATCAGAGCTCCTTATATTGTTTTAAATATAACAAGACAGTTTATGTATATAGGTCTGTATATTTTATCATTTAGCATTATACAGAGCAATAATGCAGTACCCATTTACATGTACTCTCTGTTCACAGGCAGATGTTCAGAAAGGTGTCCATCAAAATATTCATGGTGGGGATGGAAAATTTTTTGCTTTCTTTTCTATAATTTTGTGAACTGCTAAAACTTTCTAAAATAGAGATGTATTAGTTCTGTAAATAGAAAAAAACTTATAAACAAAACATAAATGATGATTAGTAATTTGTGAAATGTTTCTTTTATTAGTTTGTCTAGATCTACTTTATCTTGAAATTCTAGGTCAGGATTTCTTTCCAGTACAATGGATACAACCATTCTAGAAGAAACAAATGTGTAAAGCCAATTAGATGAAACATAAAAGCAATAAATCTGGGTATGTCACTTTCTCTATTTTCACTGGTTTTTGTTGAAGCTTGCTGTTGATGAGTGAGTGTAGTCTTTTTAGCTTGAAAAATTTAAGATGTTTTAATTGTTTGTATGTCTGGGCAAGGAGAGCCATTTGCCACAAGGACTCAAATAGAGATCAGGGGTAGGTGAAAAATTAAATTCTTGGTCTTTTAGGCAGTTTCCTTTATACTAGCTTTCAAGGACCATGCAAAAATCACTTTTTCAACAATCTACAATTCATAATACAAACCTCTACAATGATTTGTCTGTACTTTGGCTGGTCAATGTTTCCCAATATGTCTTCAACAAGGAGAGAGAAATTCATCTCATACATGGTCATATCTGACAAGGTTGGTTGCTGAAAAAAAAAAAAAAAAAAAGCCTCCACATTAACATGCTGCACTGCTGTACTCTGGTTCTCTTTTCATAAAAGAATTTCCGTTTCTAATCAATAATCCTTTCCAGCTCCTACAGAACCTTAGAGAGCATTTTTAGCTACACAAACAGATTTTATGTATGACATCTTATTGAAGCCAACCATCCGATTATTGTGATAAATTAAACCTCCTGTTTTCAGTAGTTATTTCATTATAATAATTTTTTTATAGGGAAAAAAGGACTATATTAGAAGACCACTTTAATATACAAAAGGAACAGGCAAGAATTAAGATAACAAATAGAGCATATATTATTTTCAGAATTAACATAAGAAATTATGTTTGCTGTCATTTTTCAGCATGTAAGTCATTTGATATTAATTTATATTATTGCTGTGGCAGGCCCTTTCTGAACTGGCACCATAAAAATACACAGAACAAGAGAAAAAAGAACATTATATGTAGAAATGGCAAGGAAACACAGAAAAAAGAAAACTAAAAATTTTTCTACTCTTTATCTTTCATTTAAAATAAGAGTACTGTACAGTCTCCCATTCATTTTCAAAAGCCAAATCCAAAGTCAGGCGCAGTGGAGAAACTTCAAAAGATGGGATGGAGTCCCTACATGTTAGGGTTGTCTGGTGGAAAGTAGGAAGTTACCAGGATTATTACCAGAAATGATGACTTTTACTTTATTGACTTAGAATGAACTTAATCATAGCTGCAGAATAACTACTCAAAATGAGACCCACTAGTAATATATCCACTCCACCGAATGATAGATAGTACAGCTGTTTGTTGTTTGATGCTGTTGCTGTTAACTGTCGCTGAATTGATTCTGACTCATAGAGACCCTGTCTAAGTTATTTGTTGTTGTTGTTGTTGTTAGGTGCCATCGAGTCGGTACCGATTCATAGAGACCTTATGCACAACAGAACGAAACACTGCCTGATCCTGGGCCAATCCATTCACTACTAAAACTTAGATGTAGTACCCAGTTTAGAAAAATAAAGACCACTTGCCAAACAGATTATAATAGTTTAGCTGCTTAGCAATGGGATTAATGGGGCTACAGAAGGAAAGGAGGAGAGGCCCTTTCCTGGTTTCATATCCATTTCCTCTAATCCCATTTGAAAAGTCAATTTAGCTACCACAGCTAAGGTATAAATCTAGAGAAAAGATAGTAAATTAATTTTATTTCTTGTTCTCAGAAAGAATTTATTGTTGGACTGCAAGGTTGGTTTGAACTGCAAAGTTGATGGTTTAAGCTCACCAGCCACTCCTCAGAAACCTCACAAACTGCTATAAGTTGGAACTAACTAGATGACACTTGAGCAACAACAACAAAGAAGTTAAAGAAAGGGATCAGAGGGCAAATTGTCAGAGGTAATACCCTGATTCTGCTACTTACTAGATGTGTTTTCCTTGGAAAATCACTTCCCAACCCTTCGGTTTCCCTCATGTACTTAAAAGTGTTGGTCCATAAAAAATAGTTAATACCTAATTACTGAAGTTACATGAAGCACCGTTATTCCCATGGGCAAATTCTTGACTTCCATGTTGAAATGGATGTGATTCCAGGCCACTGCATCTCATGTACGGTCCCCAACTTGTCCATCAGTGGAGGTGTGCACGTTGCTATGATGGTTTCAGCAGAGCTGCCACACTAAAATGGACTAGAAGGAAGTGCCTGGCAATCTATTCTACAAATCAGCTCATACAAGCCCTATGGGTCTCAACAGTCTGATCAGGGCGATGCCACAAGACTGGGTTTGATGTTTGGTTTCTTGGTAAATGGAGTCACCATGAGTCAGGGGCTGACTTTCCAGTAGGTAACAACAACTGTTGTTACCGTTAGCAGACAGCGTGTACTAAATGTAACTGGCCCAGTAAATCAGACAGTTAGATGTAACTCTGGATAAGTATTAGTGGGGACTGCCCAGATGTACAAGGAAGAGACAGAAGCAGCGGATGCTACCAATAGGCCTGTTTTCTGCCCAAGGAGTCAGCGCTGCTACAAACTACCCTCATAGAGCATCTAGAAAATGGCTGGATGCCTAACTTGGCAAACATATAAACCCACTGCGAGTCCACAAATAGTATAAGGAAAAATTTCCAGAAGATTTTTGAATTTTCTTTT